TATTTTGAGCTTCCACTTAGCCCATAAGGAGAACAGCAAGTTTGTAAAATTATGAGATAGCACGAAGCATCTTCCAGCCAGTATCCAAGAACCCAATCTAATTTTGTGTGATCCAAAGTACAATATATTCTTAGGAGGACATATCATGGTAGAGAGATTATTATGCTGCTCTCATTATTCCTCAATAAAACTAATAAAACTAACTGAATTGTGAATCCCTATTACTCATGTGACAGAGAGTGACTTCATCCTTCCTGAACCTGTCAGGTTACTTGACTAGGTCAAGCAACTTGGAGTTCATATTTTCAACTTGGCCATTTTCCTTTAATTGTCTGTCATGCGTAAAAGTAATCATGGAAATGTTTGGAGAAGGCAGAGTAAGATACACATATTTCTCAGCAATTACATTAGCAAACACACACTTGCTCACTCACCCACATACATGTGGAAACAGACACACACTCTCACACTCAAACTCAAATTCAAACACTCACTCACACACTCACTCATACACACACATCCACATTCACATGCTCTCACACTCACATATACACATATTCATGCACATGCAAACACATGTGCATGTGCATAGACACAAACAAACACACGTGAATGCATGCACACGTACACATGTGCGTGCATGCATACACGTGCACATACATATGCATGCAATATAATGGTTGTAAAGTTTTGATGGTAAATTTACAATCAAGACAACTTATTAACAGATGGTAGGTGCACCTTCAGTACAGGCATAGCACAGAAGAAAAAAAAAAAAAAAAAAAAAAAAAAAATTGGAGTACACATAATGAGGAGAACTAGAGGAAAACTTCTGTAACTCGAAAATGTACTGTGATTCACCTTGAGGGAAGGGTTGACTATCCAGATTAGGCCCTTGCATGTGAGCCACGAGCCACCTCCTGCCGAGCTTCCTGTTTAGGTTGCATCATAACTACTCGAACAGACTTGGCATGTCCAGGCTGTTCCCCAAGTTGAAACATTTTGGAAGCTAGCTAATGTTTAAATATGGTAATCATATTTTTTGCATGGGCCTTACTTCCCTTTCCATAATAGCAATAGATTCTTTTTCTTAAGTTTGCACAGATAAGCAATTCATTCTTATCAAGTTCTCTGTTTTATAAAGTGGCTATTGTTTTTATAATTATATTGTCAGGAACATGAATGTAATATCTTCACAAGCTTGAATGAATGAATTAGGTTACTTAATATTAAATGCTGCCATAGTTTGTTTTTTTATATATGATTGCTTAATTACAGGTAATTGTTAATCCTTGAAGTCCTCTCAACCACAATCATGCAAAGGCAGTTATAAAGTGACAGGCTTTTTTCCCACAACACTTCATTATGAGATGTATGTAGTGTCTTAATATATTTGGTACTGAATGGCAAGTTCCCTCCAGTCACACCCATTTTATCAATGTCATACCCGTGTTCTGCTTGTAGGCCTTGCTCTTTGTGAGAAAATCATACGTCTTGTGTTTCCTGTGTCTTTCTTTTTGTGAAGTAGTAAGTTATTTACTCTATGGCATATTTCATCCAGCCAGACCATTATCTTTTCCTCTCCCAAAGCCCCCCCCTCACATATGGCACAATTACATGTTAATGTTGCTTCCATGTTTATCATTCTTTTTACTATCTGTGCTTCTAGATATTTTTTACCCTTTGTGTGTGTGTGTGTGTGTGTGTGTGTGTGTGTGTGTGTGTGTGTGTGTGTGTGTGTGTGTGGTGTGTGTGTGTGTGTGTGTGTGTGTGGTGTGTGTGTCTATCTGTATGTCTGTCTGTCTGTGTGTGTGACAAATATACAAATTTCTGGTGTGGAGAATTAAGTTCTAAAAAATACATGATTCTTTTAAGACTTTTCAAGGCAAATGAAAAACACACACACACACATACACACACATACACACACACCACACACACACACACACACACACACACACACACACACACACACACACACACACACACACACAACACACACACACACACACACACACAACACACACAACACACACACACACACACACACACACACACACACACACACACACACACACACACCCACTCACTCACTCACTCACTCACTCACTCACTCACTCACTTACATGCACACACACTCTCACTTCATGCTACACACCTTCACTTACATGCACACACGCTCAATTACATGCACACACACACACACATATACATACATACAGACATACATATATACATACATACATACATACATACATACATACATACATACACACCTATACACATCCATACTCACCCATACACACATACATACACATATACACATACATACCCATACACATACACATACATACACATACACATACACATACACACACATACATACACATATACACATACATATATACACAAATACATACATACACATGCATACCTATACACACACCTACACACACACACCAATACACACACATGCACATACACATACACATATACATACACATACATCCTCATATGTATTTGGTACTCTTTGGCAAGTTTCCTGATTTCACAAACTCTTACTTCTCATGCAAGGTATTTTTGCCTGAGTGATTGATAGAGTCCTGTTCTTCCAATTACACATTGTAGTGATTGGGAGTTCGCAATTTTGATATTGCATGATTTACTTTATCCATCCAAGTCTTGCATCTTTTCCTCCTCAAAATACTTTTGAAATCATCTAAATACACTTTTTTATGATAATATACGCGTTTCCTTTACATTTATTCATGCATGAGGTGTAATTGTGATAACTTCTCTAAATCTGTGCTCTACTGACACTTTCTGTATTTGAGATATGTCAGTGAAAAATACATTTTCCAGTGCATAAAATTGAACTCTTCAAATGTCTGTAGTCCAAAGGCCAATATTTTCATGTACCCCTGTGGTTTCATAAGGCTATTATGTATAGAAATCCTAGTATGTGGTCTTATATTAGACAATACTTTATACATTATATGACTGAAGAAGTTGCTGCCTGTGAGAGAAGCATATGCTGTATGACTGTCAAGACAACTGTATTATAGTTTATTAGTATCTCCACACAGCTCTGCTAAATATACTGTAATATATTGTTTGCACAATGTCCAGAATGCATAACAACCTCTTTCCCATGAAGTATCATGCATATTAAGCAAATCTTAATATTATGTATTCAAATATTATGAAAAGGAAGATGCTCTACAAGATAGTCATAGCAGAACAGTGTTTCTTTATATCCACATTTTCTCTTTTCCAGAATACCTCATTATTTTGGGATGAAAGTGCCACCTCTTATTCGCACGAGAACAGAACTTCAGGAGAAGATGTCATTACTTGAGGCTTTGGGAGATATTCAAGCAGCACTCAGTGTTCTAGACCAGCCTATAGACATCAATGTTCATCCAGCTGACCAACATTACCTTAGTCTTAAATGTGATATTTCTCCTGTTGAAAAAGAATCTGCAGATTTTAAGGTAAAGTTTATATTTACTTATTTTATGCGAGATTTTGGTTGTATACATTTAATAGTGTCAAAATAGACTGCTATCTCTTCACATCAAATGTACTGTACTGCTAACTATGAATTGCAGTTACATCTGCACCCACTGACTAAGATAAAAACGACCACACATTTGTCTTGCCTGTTAACATGTAGCCATCTTCAATTTTGTTTCCTTTTTGACTACTTTTCAAATCTGATTTGTGGTACTTTCCTTTAGGGAGGGAAGGAATGATAATACAAAGGTAAAATGAGGTGGAGTAAAAACCATATACTGAGAAGAGGAAAAAAGAAAGAAATCCATATTTGTTTTTCATTTTTCTGTAACTATATTTTAGCAACTTTGATAGTTAGACATGAAAACTAATTTGTAATGAAAAAAGAGATATTGAGAAACTGTTGAAAGCCTTGCGTCATAAAAGATGACAAAATAGGTATGCTCCCGCTCATTCACTGTTGCAAATGAGAAACTAACAATAATGCACATATGCTTTGATAAAATGCTGATATATTAATGACATAAGTTGGTAAACACATGTGGAAGGAAAGGAGTTTGACAAACAGACTCCTTTTCTCTTTATATTTCTACATATGTTTGAGTGCATATGAACTCATTTTCTTTTTTCATGCAGGTAATAGAGAATTACCTGCTCAAAAATCATGGCAAGACCCACAGACAATATTCACTAGAACTGTTGGAGTTATTTGAATGCAGGAAAGAGAGTGAATATGAAAGATTCAAGGATGTTGGGAATAACATGTTGTTATGGCACGGTTCCCGACTCTCAAACTGGGCTGGAATCCTGAGCCAAGGTTTAAGGATTGCTCCTCCAGAAGCTCCTTCTACTGGATACATGGTAAGACTGGTGTTACATAAAGTGTTTTTATTGACCACGGGATAAGATGATTAGATTCTTACCTACCCATCCTTTCATTATTACAGTATCTGATGTGTTAATGCCACTAGATTTCACTTTATTTTATCACTTTGGGATTCTTTTTCTCTTCCGTGACAGTTTGGCAAAGGCATCTATTTTGCTGACATGGCGAGCAAAAGTGCCAATTACTGCTGGGCATCAGAGTCAAATAATGTTGGCCTGTTGTTGTTGTCAGAAGTATCATTAGGAAAGACAAATGACTTACTGGATGCTGACTACAATGCCAACAAACTCCCTAGTGGTTGTCACTCAGTCAAGGGCTGCGGAAGATTTGTGCCACCAAGCAAGAACCTCACAAAGTTGTAAGTATTTTTCTGACTAATAACAAAGTAAAGACTTGATTTAGTTCAGAGAGAGTAACATTATTTTTCACCATAGCTATTACTTCTTATGATAAAGCTGTTGTTGATAGTTATTCTACTTTGTTCACCATTAACCTTAATTTTATTATTTTTAAAAAGTTCTTGTTCATATTATTAATATTGTTATTTATGTTTTTTCATGTATGTCTACATGCAACCACATAAAAGAAAGTTAAAGTGAATATGCATTAATAGGTAGTTGATTTTTTATTGATTTTTATCAGTGATAATGTTTGTATTAGTATCTGCAAAATTATAATATCATTATTATCATCATCATCATCATCATCATTTTGATTATTATTGTTGTTGTTATTGTTATTATTATTATATTATTATTATTATTATTATTACTGCTATTATTATCATTATTATTATGATTATGATTATTACTACCTCTGCCAATGGTTTTGGTAGCATTGGTTAGGTTATTTTTTTTTCATTGGTTTGCACAATAATTTAAAAAGATATGAGCAGATTTTTCATCATCATCATCATCATCATTCTTTTCTACTATTCATTTCATCTTTAGTCTACTGTTAATTTTAATAATATTGTTAGTATTATTTTTTTTTGTCAGTCCTACTTAGATGCTATGAAATTTTGGCGGTGATCCGAATCCAGAAATTTCTTAAAGAATTCATTAGCATTGCGAGACTTCTTGTTAGTATTATTAATGCTATTGTTATTATTGTCATTATCCTTATTATTGTTATTTTTAGTATTATTGCTAATATTAGTATTTTGTTATCGTCATTATCATCATCATTGCTTTTTTACTACTACTACAATTACAATGACTACAACTACAACTACTACGGCCACTACGACTACTGCTACAACTACAACTAGTACAACTACTACGACTACTACGACTACTACTACTACTAGAACTATTACTACTACTACTACTACTACTACTACTACTACAACAACAACTATGACTACTACTACTACAGTTACAACAACTACTACTTCTACAACTACTACTACCATGACTACGACAATGACTAAGACTACTATTACGACCACGACTACTATTATGACTACGACTACAACAACGACTACTATTACAACTACGACTATGACTACGACTACTATTACGACTACGACTACGACTACTATTACGACTACACTACTATTACGACTACGACTACGACTACGACTACAACTACTATTATGACTACGACGACTACTACTACTACTACTACTACTACTACTACTACTACTACTACTACTACTACTACTACTACTACTACTACTACTACTACTACTACAGCTATGACTAATATGCTACTAGTACTTTTACCAAAACTACAACTTCTACTACTAGTACTGCTAGTACTATCAATATTATTATCATTATTGTGGGGGTTGCTATTGTTATAAGTGAACAAAAGTAATTATTACCTGGGGATTCCTCTCTTTAATTGCTTTTCTTATTAGAAGAGTAATAAAAGGACTTCGCTGTCTAGTAATAAAACAGTTTTATTTATTTATTTCAGGTCTGACGGGACAGTGGTACCTTTGGGGCCTGCTGTGAAATTAGGAGGGAGCACAAATTACACACTCATGTACAATGAATTCATAGTATACAATCCAGCACAAGTCCGCACAAGGTTCCTGTTAAAGGTGAAATTCCATTTCGGGTAGACTGTTACGTGTGTTTAACTGAAAGTGAAAGTGATAAATGTGACCACTTGTTAGGAATATTATTAATATTGAACTTGTTAGGAATATTATTAATATTAATATTATTAATATTAAACATGAGGAAAAAAGGTGAAATTTCTGTAGAAACATTTCAGCTACTTGATGGAAAATCCCTGAAGCCCTCTTGTATAAGTTTGTTGATATAACGTGATTTTTATTGTTTGTGAGCACTATATTGATTGTATGTTACACCATTTTTACCAAAAGATAGAGGTTATTTTGGTAAAGTTGGCAACCTTTTTCAGCATAGTAAGATGTCATTTCTTCTCTCACAACTTGATCTGCAAATAATGATTCTCTCTCTCTCTCTCTCTCTCTCTCTCTCTCTCTCTCTCTCTCTCTCTCTCTCTCTCTCTTCTTCCTTCTCTCTCTCTCTCTCTTCTCTCTCTTCTCTCTCTCTCTCTCTCTCTCTCTCTCTCTCATATAGGTTTCAGTACAATTGTGCTGCATTTTTCTGCAGTTCACTAAATAAACACAAGAGTCCTATTTTGTTTTAATTTTCAGCGACCACCTGGGGAATATTCTCATAAAATGTACAACATTTTATGATAAGAGTTTAACATACTAAGCTGACTGAATTAATCAAACTGTTGAAAAGATCAAATGAATGCTGAAGGAAGTATGCATTATCCAGTGATTTTATATGTTTAGATGTGTTAGGTTGAGGGTTGAGTATGATATATATATTGTACATAGCAGAGGTTACTGTAGAAAAAGTAAAAAGGTATCTCATGGACTACATTATGTACATAGAAAATCTCATTCACTACATTATGTACATAGAAAATCTCATTCACTCACTCATTATATCAACATAGAAAAGCTCATTCACTGATAATATAATACCACTGGTAAGAGAAGATAAAAAGAAACAAAGCCTTGCAATACAGGAAATTTCATTAAAGTAATGTAACATATTACCCTGGATGTAAGTGGTTTATAGGATGCCCCAGAGTCTAAGTTGAGTTGCCAATTTGTTCTTTCCTGAAATTGATGTGCCATAGTATCCCCCATCCTCCCTTGCATGTCATGGGGGCTTAGGAGACCGAGACTGAGACCCAAGGTAAAGGGATTGCCCCTACCTTGGGCCTCAGCCCTTGCCACAACTGATTTTGCATGGTATTTTCTTTTCCCCCTTTTCTTTTTCTTCTCTTTGTCATCCCTTTGCGTCCACATCCTAAAGTGAGAGAGCCATGCTGAAAGGATGAAAGGCTGGGTTTGTATCAGTCCTGAATGGCCTTCATACTCCATTGGCTTTTCACATTTTACCCTTTTCACTACCATTCTAACATACAGAGCCTTACAACCTTAGATGTCTAATACATTTTTCAATATATTTTTAAATGAGCTATAGTATCTGCAATTATGACATAGAAAAGAAGACATAGATAAAAAAAGGAAATAAAGATTATGAAAATTAATTTATCTTTAAGATTGCGGGAAAGTCCTGACTAACCAGGTTCACGTCAGATACAGGAAGACCTTGATGTAAGTCTTGGTCCAATAAACCTCTAAAATCAAAGGCTTTGCCTCCCAAGGTTCCCTAGCTACAGGATGAAATCAAGAGTTTTACTCCCTTGTAGCAAAATTGGTAATTTCAGGACTTTGAGGATGCAAAACTTTGTCCTTTACAGGTACAAGCAATTCCAAATAATTTAGATGAGCAAGTTCATGCTCCTGCTTCCAGGCTAATCCATCGGCTTATTTCCAGGAATGATACCCCAGTCATACACTAAATTACCTTTACATTTAAAGCGTTGTAGAATTTCGATACCACAGACCAAACATAATTAAATATTTTAAGAGGCTGCAAGATGGCATCATCATAATTAAGATTGGTGGCATTATTGCCCAGTATTGCATCACATTGACTTAGGAAGATAACTTTACCCATTATCCATTCCATTCAAGCGTAGGAATACGTTAGTGTAAGAGCACAGCAATTCTTTATGCCTGAATTCAAAAGAGGAAGACTGACATGCCCCATCAAAAACCATTGCTGAACTACAAGCATCAGTATATAGGCTGGACTTTTTTAACCCAGTCGTTAGAATTCCTCTAATTAATTAGTCTCGGGGTCTCCCAGAGTGATTCACAATGTACTGATTTGAATGCCAACTTGCAGTGAGTGTAGCCTGCAAGCAACACAACTGAACTTAAGACCATAAATTACACTGATTTGAAGTACAAGGATAAGTCTGTTTTGGATCTGCCAGGAGTGAATCTAGGACGGCAGATTGCCCCATTCTTTGGTGATATGCCTCATGAGAGTCCTTATCTCGCCTGATATGATGAGTAGGGTAATAAATACTCTGATGGCTGCAGCAGGCCCACTTAGACAGCATACACCCGCACACACGCACACACAGGCGCGCGCACACACACACACACACACACACACACCACACACACACACACACACACACACACACACACACACACACACACACACACACACACACACACACACACACATACATATTTATATACATATACATACATACACATATTTATATACATATACATACATACAAAACCAAACTCTTCTCATCCCCGAATCACTAAAATGGGGGGTGAGGGGTTGTCCTCACGCCAAAAACAAAAATCTCTCTAACAAGGGGGGAGCGCGGGGTCTCCTCTTGTCCGTGAGTTCCAATTTACTCCCAAACAGATCAATACTCAAAAATATGTAAAGCAAAGTTCAAGAATCGTCATCTGACAGCGGGGCCAGTATAGTAATACACAGACGCATCTTGGCGGGTTTTCAGGGTCCTGCAAAACAGGGTTCCAGACTAGCTAGGGCTGATGTGTAGTCGGGCCAATCTTCAAGAATCGACCTGGTAGAAACAGATACAGAGGGGTCCCAAATCGCCTAGATTAAGATACACACAGTGGTACGCCCATTTTTAGAAGCAGGATCCCTCAGGAACGGAAAGAGACAGAGATGACCAACTACTTGTTGCGAAGGCCTCGTAACGGAGCGTATTTTCTTGGTATAGGGAACCTCAGGGTTCTCTGGCATCTTGACAAATTAGAGATTTTTGTGTTTTTAAGACCCAAAAAGCAGGATTAACAAGGAGCCAGGAACTTAAAAATCTAGAACCAGAGAGGTCTTGGGCACTTCCTACTACATACCAAGTTTCATGGGTGTAGACATAACAGGATAGAAGAGAAAACCGGCCTATTTTAGCTTTTGGCTCATTATTTTCTGAAATTAAAGTTTCCAAAATATCGTTTCCCCAATAACAAAATGATTGATATTAAAAAAAAAAAAAAAATTGGTTTAGATTGGTCCACTGGGCGTGTAATTGTTCCACTCTTGTAACTCAAATCTCATTCCTCAGTGAAGTTAAATCCTCATCTTTGGCAACTTTCTTGTACCGTCGTGGCCCAGAAACTTTCAGGTGGAAATCATATCTAATTCTACTATTAGAAAATTTTGAATTCCATTTTTTTCGGCGGATGAACACCTCTTGCACACCTCCCTCCCGAGTGAGTTATCATTTATCTAAAAACGGATGAAAAAATGGCATAATGTCTCAGTCTCACATATTCTCTCTCTCTCTCATTCTGATTTCTCTCTTTCTCTGATTTCTCTCTCTCTCTTTCTCAGTGATCCTAATTCTGAGTTCTAGGTTGGCAAGGTGATTGAATAAGCCAGCTTTTAGTCACCGACTTCTTGCCTCAATATTTGATGCCTACACTGGCATCCTTAAATTTCATTCGTTTTGAGTTGCAAGAACAGAACGACTGCACACCCTGTGAACTAATTTAAAATGTCTTACGTCTCCTCCACAGTGTTAGGTTCCTGGGCAAACATAACAATTTAACTGTTTTTTTAAAACAAAAGAAAAAATATGTATATAACTGTAGAGCTACACAGAAAAATATTGTTAGAAAATCATGCTAAACATTCTGACACAGGCAATGATACTTTTTGAAATGATTAATGCTGTGAAACTTTTGGTATCCCTGATTCTTCAACTATCTTTGGGTATGTGTGGCTTATCTGAATGAAATAATGATCTCACAAGGAACCCGTATGAATTCCGAAATGACTATTAGAGAAGTTAATCCATCATACCAAACCTGTAACATAACGTTCTGTTCATTGAATGGTTTGACACCCCTCTTAACGATCATTTTCTGTGTAGCTGTACATGTCTTTGTGTATATTTATATGTATATAATATATATATATATATAATATAATATATATATATATATATATATTATATATATATGTATATATATATATTAATATAATATATTATATATACACATATATATATATATATAGATATATATATATATATATATATATAATATATTTATATATATATATATGTATGTATGTATGTATACATATATATGTGTATATATATGTATATGTAAGTATTTACCTACAAACGCGTGCACGCACGCGCGCACACACACACATGAGCATTTGAAAGGATGCACGGAAATGTTTGAATGTGTGTGTGCACATGTGTTTGTGTATGTCCAGGTTATTTGCGTTTTGGGTTTGCTCCTTGATATGTTGCCAAATTATTCTTGCCCGTACCCAATAATATGTATCGGCAATTCTCTACATTTATACATAATTGAAACTGGAAATAACTCGTCTCGACCCTGGCGCCCCACATCACCGGAGACCTTGGCATGGCTTCCGTCTTATTAAGCGGGAATTTTTCTGAATCTCAGAAAACTGCCCCCTTATGAATTAGTGAATCATTATTTTTAGTCACGCACACATGCATACAAAAAAGACAACTTTTGTATTCTAAGATACATTTTTTTTAGATAGAAATAAATAATATAGAGGATAATGAAAAGAGAAAAAGCCACGCAAATTTCTCTCTCTAAGGATTCGAATTAGCATGTGCAGAGGATTCAGAACGTCGGGGCGTATCTGCACAAGATTCTGATGGTAATTTCTCATGCTGATGTACCGTTTTCAGATTATTTTTATAAGTAGGAATATAGAAAATCGAACATCAAACGTTTTTGAAACACTTTCTTCTTACCATTGTTCATTTTCCTTAAAAGAGTTCAAATTTTAGATTTCCGCATACTAAACCTAATGCAGCTGTTGAAACGTGACGTCATTGTTTACCGTCTACGTCACATAACAAATTTTCGATTATCTAATTTAAATTGATATTATTTGGCTGCCGAAAAGACGATATTTTAATTGGTGTTTCGAATCCTAGAATTAAAGAATACATGAATGGCAACAGTAGGCACCTCGTTTTACGTCGTTTTACGATATAGAAGTGTACTGTAATTCATAATTCTTTGTTTTAGAAGTGTAACATTTATTTTGATGAATCGGCAAACTGATGACTAAGTCCGTATTAAATGACTGGTGAATAAATAGCATCGACTTACATTGACCATTGCTTTTAACATGCAAACTACGTAATTCATATGTATAATGCTTAAGATATATTTGCATTCCAATATCATGAACTTATGTAAGTTGA